CACTTGGGCCTTGATTGAGTCTTTTTGATTCCTGTATCTGTTTTGGATGGTTTCCTGTTGTCACTCTGGAAGGGATGGCCTTGGGTGTGGCCTGCAGATGGAAACGCAGTGGGATTCGGAAGCTGGTGAATCCCTGGCATCAGCTGCACCGATAAGAAAGGAAGCCCCATTATCCCTGGAGCCACAGGCCTCACACACTGCCTTTGGCCCTGGCCCCCAGGTTCTGGTGCTTCTGCATTCCCATTTGACTCAGCAGCTGAGAAGTGGCTCACAGGTGTGGCAGCTGGGCAGTGTTCCAACATGCAGGTGGCAGGGAGCAAGGAACCCTCTCGGGCTCCTGGGGGGCCGTGACAACCTCCCATTGATTTCAATCTTGGAATATGGAAGCCCTGTAAAGTTCCATGCTGAAGTCTGCACTAGGGTGCTCAAGAGAAGCATGACTACTGGGTCTCATCTCTCTTCTGTCTATTTCTCATCTACCAGCCATCTGCTGCTGTCTGCTAGCTTTATTAGCATGTGTTGATTGTACAGAGTTGGGCCTTCCTTATACTATTCGCACACACGCATTCAATGCACTTTGATTACATCCACCCCCTCTGTTACTCACCTATATCCCCTCTTCCTTCCCAGTCCACATCCTCAGCCTTTAACTTCGTGGTCTCTCCCACCTCCCACAGCTAGACTGCTTTGGGATCTTAGCTGTTGTGAGCAGTGCAGCTATGAACACGCTGTGCAGGTCTCTCTGTGATACACGGACTTGGATTCTTTGGGGCACATTCCCAGAAGTCCCACTGCTAGGTATATGGGCATTCCTATTAATGGCTTTTTGAGCTTTCAGAGTGGCTGTATCCACATTTCTACCAGCAGACAGTGAGGCTTCCCTTGCTTGCATTCTCGCCAGCAGAGAGGCTTTTTTTTTTTTTAAGACAGGCTTTCTCTGTGTTGTTTTGGTACTTGTCCTGAATCTCGCGCTGTAGACTAGGCTGGCCTCGAACTCACAGAGACCCACATGGCTCTGCTGGGATTAAAGGCAAGCGCCACCACTTGGCCGAGGCTTATTTTTTTTAAAGACACTGGCTTGTGTAGCTGTGGGGAGTGACAAGACTCAGATTGGTAGGTGGCCATTCAGGTAAGGACTGACGTTGGAGACTTGAGTGTAAAGGCTGCAGACCAGGCCAGCTGCCTGTGGCTGTCCGTGGGAATTCCACGTTGTTCCCTTAATGCAGCAGGCAGTGGCGCATGCCCTAGTCAGACTGTGTTTAGCACCAACTCTGTGCAATAAGAGGATGAAAGAGGGGACACCAACCTGTGAGGCAGCTGGAGGGAGGGAACAGGGTGCAGGTCACATTGGTTAGGTTGGGTCCAAGCTCAGTTACTTCCTACCTGTGAGACTTCAGCGATCCATCTTAACTTCAAGTCTCTCTCATCTGTAAAATGCACAGTGCTAGTGCGATCAATCTTGGTGATTTTGTGAAGATAACACATGTGTAAAGTACTCAGAGCTTCATCTGCAACGTACTGTTTGTGTGTTTCATACACATCAGGAACTATTGGGACCTTTTTTAACATTTGAAAATTATATTTATCTATTGTGTGTGTGCATGCATGTGCACATGCCACAGTATGGATGTGGAGGTTGAGAATAACTTGTGGGATTTGGGTCCCTTCTTCTACCATGTAGGGTGGACCTGAGTATCAGACTCAGACCATCAGACTTGGCATCAAGTGCCTTTACCCACTGTACCATCTTGCTGGCCCGTAATTGCTTTCTCCTGAACCCAAATTACCCCATTTCTTGGGAAAAGACACCAGGATCCACTTTCTTCTGAAAGCTGTAGTCATAAAATTAAAGAAAAGAAGATCTGGGCAGATAGACCAGAGTTAAGAGAACTTACTGCTTTTACAGAGGACGTAGGTATGGGTCTTAGCACCCACGTGGCAGCCCAACCTATAACTCCAGACCCAGAAGATCTGACACCCTCCTCTGGCCTCCAAGGAGTTTTAAACCCTTGTGGTGCACTTAAACTCATGTAGGTTTACATACACATCAATTAAAAAAATTAAAAGAGCATATTTATTGGAAAGCTAAGGAGGTTTTTTGGTTTGTTTGTTTGTCTGTTTTTATTTTGTGTAGCGTAGTCCTAGCTGGCCTAGAACTCACAGATCAAATTCTGCCTCCTACATGTTGGGATTAAAGGTGTGCCCTACCATGCCCAGCAGGAGGTTTTTTATTTTTATTTTTAAGTACTGGAGATCGAATCCAGAGCCTCTCACATGCCAGGCAAACCCTGTAACCCTGAACTACAGCTAGAGCCACCTAGGGATTGTTTTTCAGCAGTGAATGTGATATTTCTTTTTAAAAAGCCAAAGGAGCCGGGCGGTGGTGGCACATGCCTTCAATCCCAGCACTCGGGAGGCAGAGCCAGGCGGATCTCTGTGAGTTCGAGGCCAGCCTGGGCTACCAAGTGAGTTCCAGGAAAGGCGCAAAGCTACACAGAGAAACCCTGTCTCGAAAAACCAAAAAAAAAAGAAAAAAAAAAAAGCCAAAGGGATCAGCAAAATGACTTCTAGAATGAATAACGGCACCAATATAAATGTTTGCAAAAGAAATACATAAAAAGTCAACTTTCACCACCATATCTACATTAGAGTGTGAATGTCGGAAGGAGGAACATGAGGGTCAAAGGGGGATCACAATGGATGCTCCTGTGATTGTGCGAGTCTGAACTTGAGGATCACACATGTGTGTTGCCATGTTGGACTGCTTGAACTGGGTTCTTAGGATGTCTTAGTCAGGGTTTCTGTTGCTGTGAAGAGACACCGTGACCACAGCAACTCTTATAAAGGAAAACATTTAATTGGAGCTGGCTTATAGGTTCAGAGGTTTAGTCTATTAGTATCATGGCAGGAAGCATGATGGCACACAGGCAGACATGGTGCTGGAGGAGCTGAGAGTTTCATATCTGTATCCACAGGCAGCAGGAAGAGAGAGACACTGGGCCTGGCTTGAATTTGAACCTCAAAGCCCACCCCCAGTGATACACTTTCTCCAACAAAGCCACACTTCCTAATAGTGCCACTTTCTGGCAACTAAGCATCCAAATCTATGAGCCTATGGGGGCCATACCTATTAAAACCACCACAAAGGAGAAACCTTATCTGACCACCTGGTATTATCCTTGAATGTTATGTTTGCCATACTTTTCTTGGATTTGTGCATCTTATCTTTTGTTTTTTTAAGATTAACTTATTTTTATGTGTATGGGTGTTTTGCCTGCATATATGTCTGTGTGCTGTGTGTGTGTGTGTGTGTGTGCAGTACTCAAAGAGGCCAGAACATGACACCAGGTCCCTGGAACTGGAGTTACACACAGTTGTGAGCCACAGTGTGGGTGCCGGGAGCTGAACCTGGGTCCTCTGCAAGAGCAGCTAGTGCTCTTAACCACTCTAGCTCCTGCCTTACCTTTTAATGTGCTTTTTTTTAAGGGTATTAGGTTTCAATATTGAGGTTATAAATCTCCTCCCCTGGGGCCTTTTATTCATTCCTTCCAAGACCTAGGCTGCTACCTTCCTTTGCCTAAAACCCATGTATGTGGGATTTTGTCACTGCCTTACAACATGCTTCTAGCCTGCGCCTCCCTCATGCACACAGGTCCCATCAGTTGTAGGGCCTTGTGTACATGGACAGGTAAAGACCCAGGTGAGTACTGAAAGAGAAGAGTTGCAGATGATGAAATTACCCTTTAAACAGGTCTTTTGATTCTGAGTATGTAAGGGAGAGTCGTGATGAGTAAGAAATGGAGCCAGCCTAGGTGTCCATCAACAGATAACTAGATAAAGAAGTTCTACTCTGCTGTGAAGAAAAACGACACTATGACATCCACAGGCAACTGAAGACTGGAGGCCACCACATAGTTTCCTAGGACTATGTAACTGGTTTCCCCCTTCCCTTTCTAATAATAAATTTAAAGCCATGCATGCTCTTCTTTTCTGGGCTCAAAAAAGGCGCAAAACTATACAGAGAAACTCTGTCTCGAAAAACCAAAAAAAAAAAAAAATCAAAAATGAAACATATAATTGATGCCGTCGCTACTTGGGCTCTATGTCCCCTCCCTACACAACCCTAAGACTAGGATGCTGGAAGGCTCTGCCAGGTTCTGTCCCAACCGAGGCCCTGGAAGAAGCGATGAGGATGGGGAAGGGATTCAGTCACAGGAGGACCTGCCATGTTCCTGTTCCTGGATGGTTTGCTCTCTCAGCTTGCCTTCATCTGCAGGCTTCCTGGCGTTCTCTAGTCTCAAGGCCCTTGTTACCCGCATGTAGCCAGGACCCATGGTATCTCCCACTGTACACTTTATGCCCAGTCTTGGCTCTGTCTCTGCATACAAGGGCCTACCTAGGACAGGCCCAGTGGGAATGGAGCTGGGGAGGTCCAGGCCCTTTCTTCCTCCTGGAAACTAAGGCAAGGAAGATTCGAGGTGAGGTAGGGAGTATGCATATTGCCAGGGCCAATCATAAGTAGCCTGCAAGTGTCCTTGGTGGACTCTATCTTTCAGTAAGAATTTAAAGGAGAAGCCCTGGCAACCTTGAATGGATACCAACAGAGCAGCTCTTCCAGATGGGAGTATGTGTTCCCTTTTCCTATATATGTAAAAAACAATTTAAAATAGCCCTGGGAACGAGCAAGCAGATTGTGTTGTTATATTGCAGAGATTTCACTCCATGGGTTCAGATTTAAAAATCTTCCCCACATGGTCACGCTGGCCACCTAGACTCTGGGAAGTGGACTTGGGGATAAAACACATATGCTAATCCAGAAAAGCCAAAGTTTCCCATGTTTGTTCCTTTGAAGCCTTGTGATATGCTATTTCAGGATATATTCTTGTTTAGATTAGGTCCCTGCTTGCTGGACATCTCTTTTAGGTGGGTGTGCTGACATTCAGGTTGTTGGGTGCCATTGCCTCTGCTGATACCTGTGTTTTGTCTCCTGTCTCTCTTAGGCGGGGCAAGAAGAACAGCATTATTCTGAGGACACAGCTGTCTGTGAGGGTTCATGCCTGCATTGGTGAGTGGCGTCTGAGGCAGGCATGCTTGCTGTCTGCTCTCAGTGATCATGTGTGATGGGAAATGACACAGTTAGAAACTGTAATTGTCATGTTATCTGCCTGGGCTAGCCCTCGTGGGTTTCTGGAATTTTGGGAAAGCCACTTCTAGCAATCAGTTTCGAAGCCCTGTTTATTTTGGGCTTCCTTTGCTCTTTTGAGTGTGACTAGAGATAAGACAGCTTGAGGTCACTGATGGAGATAATTCTAGAAGTCACGAGGTTCTTCCTGGATTGTCACTAGTGAGGGCATTTACCCAGCTGAAGCGATCCTTCATATGGCTCCTTGAAGCTTGCTTTTGGGGAAGTGGAGCCTGAGACCCCAGGTGTGGTCAGGTGACTGGTAGGAACTCGTGGGTCAGTGGAGAGAGTGGGGGTGCAGAGTGTGAAATAGTATGTCAGCTACTTTTCATGCTGCTGTAATCAAATACCGGACAGGAAGCAACTTTGGATGCAAAGGTTTGTTTTTTATTTTTGCCTTACAGTTTGAGGGAATCCAGTTCTCTATGGCAGGAAAGGCGGAAGGGCATGGGCATGAGGCAGCTGCCACATTACACATGTAGTCAGGAGGCAGAGGGAGATGAATACTGGTGCTCAGTTGGCTTTCTCCTTTTTATTGACTCCTGGACGCCCACATTCAGGGCAGGCCTTCCCCCTTGAGTTAAGTCTTTCTGGAAACAGCTTCGGAAACACACATACCCAGATTTACATTTCCCTGGAGATTCCAACTGGAGTCAACTTGAGAGTGAAGATTGGCTGTCACAGAGCTAAGTAAGCAAGGTACTCGTGGTTCCCAATGGCTTTCCTGTGGTCATTGGGGGACCACTGGGTTATTCCTGCAGTCACTGTTTCCCCCACTGCAGTCATGGGTTCACTGGGAAGAAATGGATTATATATGCCTCACATGAATGGTAGATTCCTTCTAGTACTAAGCTGGGGGCAACCAAGAATTTAAAATCATAAAAAGGAAGAAAACGAAGTTTGCTCTCTGCATTAACTATCTCATATGTGCTTGTGTTTGCTTTTACTTGGTGTTAGCGGTGGTCTTCAGGCCTCCTCCGGTCAGGGGAATGTCAGTCATGCTACTGATGCTGGCCTGTACCCGAAGCAAAGGATTCGTGGATGGAATGGAAGGAACACTTTCTGGTCCCTTCTTATTCCTGATGGATGAGGGGGCAGCTGGACACTAAGGGGAATTTATGTCATTTTACTTTGGTGCCAAATGCTTGGAGTGGCGGCAAGTGTCAACCTTTGTATTACTCTAAAGCAGCAATGATTGTGCAGATGACTCCCAAGTCCTCAGGGACTGGAGGACGACGTAGAGTGGGCTGTAATGTTTTTGGAAACCTGGAAGGTCTGTGGGACATGTGGGTAACATTGATTGTCTAATCTGCCATGGCTGTCATGGCTGCCACATACATGGACACTACATTGCATCAAATCAGTTGTTTCACATGTATGAAATATGTCTAACCAAAGAAAAATCCTGTGACCCATCACTTTGTGTAAATTTCTCCCAGCTTTCATCCCAAATCAAGAATGAGGTCAAGCACATATCAGGTGAGAAATAACACTGAAGTCTAACATTGAAATGCAGCAGACCCCCCCCCCCCCCCCGCCCCCAGGAGACTTGGGACATAAGTGTGAATTGACTTTTCCTGGGGACAGAAAGGCAATGGAAAGTTGACTTTTATTAGAGTGGTCTGGCTCCAAATTTGAAGGTACTAAATCCTTTTTAGAAAATGTGTTTGTGGGCAAGGAATACAGCTCAACTGGTAATGTGCCTGTCTGGCACCCAAAAGACCTTTGGTTTGATCTCCACCAACATATAAACTGAGTAGGGTGATGCACACCTTTACTCCCAGCACTTGGGAGGTGGAGGTAGCGGGGATCAGGAGTTCAATGCTGTTTTTGGATGCTTAGTAAGTCCAAGGCCAGCACATGGGATACAGGATATATTGCTTATAAACAAACCAATACTCACATTTGCAATATAAATACCATACCATGCAATATAAATTATACCAAATATAAATACAACCAAGCCAATATGAATACTTAAATATTTTAACCAGAAAACTTTTTAAAACAGCTTCTGTGTTATTAGCTACTTACTGTACTGTATTATAATTATATGATTCTGTATAATTAATGTAGAGCACATGCTTTGTCCCACAGTATTGATCCTCAGCAGCTAGTTCAACCCATGTGGTGTGACTAGGACATGTCCACTATAATGCCTGGAGGGTTTAATCAGTTACTGATGAGTGTGCATGTGTGTGTGCGTGTGTGTTCTCAAACTTCCTTATACCAATTTGCCCTGGTTAGTGCAAACATCTAATTTGATGAAATAGTACCCCAAATGTTTGATCAACTCATTGTGGATATAAAAAGCCGTGGCTTTAAAAATTCACTGACTGTTTTGGAAACGAATCAAAATTAGTCATTACAAAAACATTTAAGTCAAGTGTGTTCCGACGTCTATGAAAGGTGAAGGATGTTGGAAACACTTAGATGGATTCCAGTGTTCACAAATGGTTTCAGCTCTTGCTTGACTTCGAGGGAACTGAATTGCTTACCCATAGACCATGCTGCCAGAATGCTTCATTCCAGAAGACTCATGGGAAATTCTAGTTTGTGGACCATCTATGTCTGTGTCTCTGCAAAGGTAAGAAATGGTACTCAGCCCCCAGAGTGTAAGTGAAAACAAGGTCTCAAGGAGTGCATGCCCAACTTTGAAAGGCTTTTCTGCTTTCATCAGTCTATACCATCAGTTGCCACAGGCCCTGGAGGGTTTGGATGTATAGACTGATGTCCGAGACAATAGGTTTCCTTTGCACTGAACACTGTCCTGCTGGGACCATTTTCTTCTTTTAGTGAGATCTGCAGTAGCTCCATTCAGACCCCACTTGAGTAGTACTGTCTGGCTATGTATGGAAGGCGGAATGCATGCCTCTGCTTCTGAAGTGTCTCTTCCCATTGTGACATAAGCCTTCCCTTTCCATGGGGCAGCAGAAGATGCCATTTCTTTGTTGTAACAACAAAACAGCATAACACAAAACTAAGCAAAACAGTGAACAAAAGCTGGAGCAGCCTCCAGTTGAATGACAAAGGGAAACAAGGGGGCAAACCTTTCATATCAGCGGAGTCCTGCTTTCTTCTCAAGATCATTTCTACTCATGGCTATGTGAGAAACGGATTCATCCCCGAAGGTGTTGGAAGTAGCTGCTGAACTGAAGGTGTTGGATGCAGCTGCTGCCAGAGGTTCACCATGATACACAGCGCCCTGAAAACCTTGCTTTGCACCCATGGTGGTACTGAAAGGACCCATGATAAGCTTTTGTCCCATGGGCCTATCACACTAGCAAGTTGGTGTTTTCCTCACCTCCCCCTTCACCCCTGCTTTTATGGAGTGTAGCGATGTTTACAGTCCAGAGCGAGTGCTGATGAATGAGAGGTGACATGTGTTTGGAATTGTCCAGCGCTAACCTTGGAAGCCTGCACCCATGGGGATAAGTGTGGAGCACAGTCTTTCAGGTTAGCAACTGGGCAACCTTCACAAGAACCACAGGCCACAGGGGCTCTGTGGTGATGGTCCTGGCTAATCTCTGTGACAGGTCTGTGCGATAGTGCAGCAGTTGGGACGTGTTTGGCAGGAAGCTGGAGTGAGAACATGCTGTAGAGGAGCCCCAGGCTTCCCTACCTTTACGATCCTCCTTGCTATGGCTTTTCTTTTGGATATTTTTAGTAGGAATGCCTGATGTAATGTATTATAGCAAACAATGCATACGTCGCCTTCTTAATTCAGCTTCGATCCCTAAAGAGATAAAAGCATTGGTGTTTCCATCTTAGCCGTGAACCTACAGATCTAAATTAAAAAAAGAAATCTCTGATCAGCAGGAGAAGTCTGCATTTTATGAAGTTAGTAGAAAAAAAATTTTTTTTGATCCTGCCAGGGATCCTATTTCAACCCCAGAAAAGCCCTCCAAGGAACTGGCTTGGATGAGAGAGTTACACGAGGAACAGACAGAAGGGCCTGAAGAAGTGCCACGTTAGGGTGGAGTCTAGGATGTAGGAGGAAAAAGTGTGGCTGGCCATAGTGGTGCACGCCTTTAATCCCAGCACTCGGGAGGCGGAGGCAGGTAGATAGATCTCTGTGAGTTTGAGGCCAGCCTGGTCAACATAGTGAATTCCAGGACAGCCACAGCTACATAGTAAGACCCTGTCTCAGAAAACCAACAACAACAACAAGAAAGAAAGAAAAGGAAAACTGTGGAAATTGTGAGAACCTGTGATGTTGATCTTATTCACCAATGTGGCTGGTTTAGAATCACCTGGACGATGGACCTGGCATGTCTTGAGGATGTTTCCAGAGAGCATTTGTGTAACTAAAGAGGAAAGACCGGTCCTAAACATGGGCGCTATCATCCCCTGGGCATTTGGAGGGGAAGAATAAAATCGGAGAGAGAAGTCAGCTGAGTGCCGGAATTCCCCTCCCTGCTTCCCGCCCGGTTGAGATGTGAACAGGCACACCCTGGCATCGACAGAGCCACCTGCAGCCCTGCTTTCCCCGCCGTGATGGGCTGTATCCCACCCAACCACGAACCAAATAACCCTTCCTCTTCTAAGTTGCTTCTTGCTTGATCACAGCATCCTCAACAACAGCTGATACAGATCCTTAGCTGACACGGCTGGGCTTTGTACTGGCTGACTTTTTTTTTTTTTTTTTTTTTTTTTGGCTTGGCTTTAAAACTTTTGTCTCTCATTCTTCTGAAGTTGATCTTATCTTTCCTTCAAGAAAAGTCAATCCTGTTGATTGGTCCTCGGGTGCCCAGAAGGACCATGTTTACAAGTGTCCAGCACAGAATGAAAAGGGTGCCATTTAGCTGAAGACGCTGAAAGACGACAGCTTGGCAGCAGGTCGTCGGTGCCCTTTCCTCAGTCTTTGTGACAGTGAGCTTGGG